GAGCAACCCGGTGTGAATGTGAGAGAAGGTCGAACAACAACTTTTGCATCACGGGGGGAGGGGCAGAGTTGTGGGTGAACGCTGGGGGGAAGAAAGCGGGAAGCATCTCAGTGGAAACATGTGACATATGGCAAGTAGTGTCGAGGCAGCTGATCCAGGGAGCCCGTCACGATGCTGAGCTTCAAAGCCGGCTCAAAGTCATGGACATCGACGAAGGCGCTTTTGTGCTTCTGAGCGTTTCCCGTCTTTTTGTGTTTCCTCTCTCCCTCTCTCTTTTGCTTCTCTCTCTCTCTCGTTTGTTTCTCGCTCTCTTTCTCTCTCTCTCTTTCTTCCTTCCTTTCTTCCTTCCCTTCCTCCCTTCCTTCCTTCCTTGCTTTCTTGCTTTCTTGCTTTCTTGCTTTCTTGCTTTCTTTTCTTTCTTTTCTTCCTTCCTTCTGGCTTTCTTTCTTTTCTTTTCTTTTCTTTTCTTTTATTTTCTTTTCTTCTCTCCCGAAGCCTCGCTGTGTGATTGATGGCCGTGTAGTGAGTGCAGTCGCAAGTGGTAGATGATTGGTATATGGCCTGTTCGGAGGCGACTTGCATGAGCTTTTCCAGATGATCGATGTGGATGGTTCAGGAACCATTGAATTGGACGAGTTCATCAGACCACTCAGTCGGTGGGTACATGAGCCTTCGGTCGGGTTTGGGAAGTTTCTGTCTATGCTGAGACGAGTGAGAGTTGCATGTTCAAATGAATTTGGAGGCAGCCATCGTGCTTCGAGACTGTAGGGGGTTTCACACACTGCGGCAGTATTGGCGGCGCTAGTCGTACGGGCTCCGGCAGTACTGGGGCCGGACCTCCAAGGATTCTAAGACGGCGCCGAGGTTCATCAAGCACCGTGGCCTTGTTTTGTCGGCTCCCTTGCCCAAGACCTGAGCTTTTTGACATTTTTAAACTTCTTCAGGGTCGTGGAGGGTGCGGGCATGCCTTTCCAGCACCGCAATGCAAGTACATTCGGTGTGGGTGGCCAGTTGGCCTGCATGTTCAGGTACAACCTCTTGCGCACTATGCACGCGCAAGAAGAGCTTCACAAGCATGTGGAAGTAAGCTTTTTGCACATGAACTTCAGGATGGATCCTTGGCAGAATTAGTGGAAGCATAGATGCTAAGACCTTCAAGTCAGTGGTCAACTTTTGGCATGTGGCCATTCCTGTATGTTCCTGTTCTCCTAGGATCAGCTCGCCGCAGAGCTCAGGCAAATAACGTTACTTGGACCTTAAGAGTGCCAAATCAAGTAGCGATACGCCCTTCGGCAAGATTCCCACACATCCCGACATGTTGCTGCACATATGCGTGTTCGCAAACGAATACATGGCGCAGTATTTGCCAGACTATGCCAGCGTGAGCGCTATATTGTGTGCAAGTCGCTAGATGGCAGCCAAAGATTCGACTACTCCCAGGCGTCTGTGTACACCGTTGGGCACAGCATCTGCGGTCGTTTCTGAAAAAAGGACCAACTGCCGGACCAGGTGGGAGTGCCTCGGAGCTTTCCCCGTGCCCCTCCATCTTTTCTAGCAAACTGCGTTCTGCCGTGCTTTAGAGTAAGTGTGAGTGTGTGTGGGACGGACGATCGGATGGCCCGAATATCATGCTCCCAGATTCATTCGCAGGATGCTGCTATCATCGAGGATTTTGTGAGGGTTTCGATTTAACCCGACCGTCCAAAAGCCGAAGGTTTCCTTCCAACCCCAAAAGTCCAAACTGTCTGTCTGTCTGTCTTGTCTGCGTGTCTTGTCTTATCTGTGTGTCTGTGTGCCTGCATGTCTGCGTGTCCGTGTGCCTGCGTGTCTGTGTGCCTGCGTGTCTGCGTGTCCGTGTGTCTGCGTGTCTGTGTCTGTGTGTTGCCAGGTTCAGCGATGAGGACTTTGTGGAGCAACCTCACCCATCCAAGCCGGTCAATTTGAAGGAGGTGGCGGCTGCGTTGTTCGCGTTTCCTCACAGCTGTGGGAGTGCATCCCATCGTCTTGCCAGCTTGCAGCTTCTTGTTGTTCGGGCAGGTGTCACCGGAGGACTCGCGGGAGGAGGCCATGGACGAGGCCATGGAGAGGCGAGGGGCTCGGGACCCAGCATCCATGATCATCCATGCCATCCTATGCCATGGAAGCCTGCTGCCCAATGGAGTTCCTGGGCAGGCTTCGTGGCATTGTGGCAAAAGCAACAGCAGGAGCTCTCCAAGGCTCAGCGGCTCTTTGGCCAGAAAGGAGCTTTTGCGACCACGTGGACCAGGGCGTCGCAATTTCCGGCCGTACAGTTTTAGTGATGTTTGCCACACAGCATCCTCTGCTCTTGAGCCAGGCTGAGCACATCTGAGCACCAAGAAAGAAGTTGTTTAACACTGCCATGTATTGGGGTCCTGATGCCTTTTGGAGCCCTTTTGAGGGCTTTTTGAGCCACAGTCCCTGACCATGGCCCAAGGCAGTTATCGAGTCATTGCTGCGAGACAGCGTGCGCCGTGAGCTGCGAAGACCGTCCGAGGCAGAATAAACCCAGGGCATCCTGAAGCCACCCAAGTTGTCGTATGGTCGGAGTTTATGAAAGATGCAGCAGCGAAGTCGCCCGCCTCAGTGGATCACTTGCGCATATGCAACCGCTTCAGTTTGGAACATGCGATCCCCGAAGTATGGGTTGGGACTAGTTGGGACAACACCTTCTTGGCCTCTTGAGTGATGATGATTGCTTGTATCTTGCGGTAGGTGCTTTGGAAAACTTTCATACTTTATGCCAAGCAGTAAGCCGTGTAATTATAGGATGCACGAAATGGTGCGGTGCCTAGTACTTGGCTTCGCCGAGGTGAGAGGTGAGTGTGAGGGATGGGAAAGGAAAATATGCACTCAGAGGGTCGAACAACGGCCAGCGGTGAAACTCGGCCACTGCAACAGCCCGGAAGCAAAAGTGGGCTCGGGCTTTGGCGCAGAAACTGGAGTGAACAAAAAAACGCCGAAGTCCGTCCGCGGGTTCTCATTGCTGTCAGCGATTTAGCATCTCGCGCAGGCAGGCATGGCAGACGCCAGAAACCCAGTGGTCAGGGAGTACACGAAGCAGAACACGAGGGAGTACATGAAGGAGTACACGTCCGATCTCATCGATGTCTCTTTGTCCGGTGCTTGGAAGCAGCCTTCGGAGAGTGGACCTGGGGTGCCTCGGCTTGTGTCGTGCAGGGGGTTGGACAGGCAGAGTGAGCCGGGGGCATTGGTTCGAGGGCTTGAGAGCTATGCAAGACTCAAAGTTGTTTGGTGTTCACTTGAGTAAGTCTTCAGGTTTCCAGGGTTCAGTAAGGGCTTCAGTCTTCGCCAGATGTGCACCAGGTAGCATGAATGTGCATGATTACCAAGATATGGTATGCAGGGTTCTGCAGGATGGATGTCTCCCCAAACGGGTGTCGTGAAGCTTTATTCGCACAGCCTAAGCTGTCTTCGCAAAGCCTGGAGCCTCTGAAAGCGGAAGGATGGCACAGATGGGTGGCATTCCCAGGCTGACGTGACTCAGCAAGCAATGGAAGGTAGAGATGTGCGAATGATGTGCCAATGCTTGTTTCAATGGTGAGTCGGGCAAGTCTTGGGTCCCCTCAGGTTGTCAAAGTTGACTTGAACAGATTGGCGGGCTCTTGAGAGCCGCAAAACTTGACAGTCTTGCCGGTGACCGCGAGCAGGGTTCTGACCTTCTCAACTGCCGTCTGTTGCAGTGTATTGCGCACCCAAGCTGTCGCAAACATGTTTTGGCTTCTAATGATGTGATCATATTCCTGCCCGGGCGACGTTTCACCTCAGCGAAAAACTAGACAACGGAATTGCCCGAAAGCGTTGTTTCGGCAGGGAAAGCCCGCTATGAAGCAGTATCATCATCATGTCTAAACTTTCTTCTAAACCAAAGTAGCGTTTCATTGAGATGAAACTCGCCAAGCCATGCCATGCCCAAACTGAGCTGTTGGAATGAATTGAGTGAATGGACTGGAATCACGGAAAGAGCGAGCACCAGCAAATGTCGCCACATGTCATCAGACAACAGTATCGCAGCCCATAGGAAAGCAACACCGTTGCAACGCTTTCGGGGTAACGACTGGATGATCATAAAGATCTCCTGGCAAGTGGCCTCCTTTATGTACGCTATGCGCTGGAGGATGCCAAAAGCGAGAAACGGTAGTTTTGCGCGGCCCTCGGAAGTAGGGAAGTGCTCGTGGATGCGAGGCCCACAGTGATCGGGTGCTATGCCCAATTGAAGGCATGAGCGCCCCCTGTCTTTGCTGGCCGTCGGGCTATGAGGGTTTTGAAGCACAGACCAGCGTTGCCGGATGTTGCCGGTGGTGATGGCAGTAGCCTAAGGCTCACAGTCTCTCTCAGCTTGGCCTGCGAGGAAAAAAGGGGATGAAGCCGCTATAGAGTCGGCGACAAGTGTCCTGTTGAAAAGGGCCCCAATGGAAGATGCGAGCGACTTTGATCTTGTTTCCATTTGTTTCCCAAGCCCCGACGTCCTGCTTAACCCTGCTTTGCTTTTATCTTGAGGCTTTGACCGCAGATGCCAGCTCATGAAGCTTCTTGGACAAAGGACCCTGTACCAGCTCATAAACGGCATTAATCATTAATTTGAGGCTCTAAGTCCCCCATTTTGACCCTGCAGGATCAATGGCCTTGGCGTCACTTCCGGTCCACGCGGCTGCAGCATGACGCACAAGCCGTTGCAAGTTTCGCAGGGTGGATCTTAGCTTTCCAAAGTCCTCAGATATCCCTGGCCATGCCTGGCAGTGCGGCTGTTTGTTCCGTGCTGCATTTTCTCTGCCAGCCAAAGTGTAAAATCGCTGGCAGATGCTGGCAGATGTTCCTTAAACCGCTCGATCAGGAAGCTCTAGCCCGACTCCAGACGGCTGCAAAGCACGGCCCCCCGAAGCTTCGTCGAAAATCTTTGAGACATGTGGGATCTTGCATTCATGTGCATTCTGACGTAAGTGCCACGGTGCCTTGCGCAG